AAGCCTGAATAAAGACCCTTGTGTGTTTGCATCGGAGCTGGCTCTTTGTGGTCTCTCTCTTGGATTTGAATTCTGGGTTTAACAGCCAAGTTGCCCAGGCGGGTCTCAAACCCGCAGGCTTAGGCAATCCATTCACCTCAGCCTCCCAAAGCGCGGGATTACAGCTTGAGCCACTGAGCCCAGCTGACTTCTATCTTTATTTCAGATTGTAGGATGATCCAACTTTCTGAACAATCGTTTTTGAGAGCTATACAAATGAGGCAGAAAATGTCTTAGTATGCTCCTGGCAATCTGATCACTTTGACTCTTGCATCTGACTGCTGTAGTTCTGTTTTTGTTTTGGTGCCTGGTCTATTTTTTATATTTTCCTTTTGGGACTGAAATGATTATGTCATATTACTGCCTAGCTATTTGAGTTGTTTTTAATGTCTCATGTTTAGCCACCTACTTGAAACATTTGCGTTTTGGTTCAGAACAAACTCTTCAACCTACATTCATGTCCTTCCTTAAGTTGTCACTCTCATCTATAGCAGATGCTCTTTTGATGTTTTTATTATTATTTCTATTTTTTTGAGTTGGAGTCTCTCTGTCACTCAGGCTGGAGGGCAGTGGCACACTCCCGGCCACCACAGCCTCGACCTGCTGGGCTCAGGCGATCCTTCCACCTCAGCCTTCCAAATAGCTGGAACTACAGACATGTCCCAGGTAGTTTTTTGATTTATTGTAGAGATGAGGTCTCGCCAAGTTGCCCAGGCTGGTTTCGAATCCGTGGGCTCAGGCAATCCTCTTACCTCGGCCTCCCAAAGTGCTGGGATTATAGGCGTGAGCCACTGCGCCCAGCCCTATTATTTTTTTAATGAACTCTTTCTGGGGTCATCAAGTTGCACAGCTCTAGGCAAAATCATTTATTTAGTATTCTACATCAATGGTTTTCCATACTGGAGCGTACTATGGTTTATGGTTTATGTTTTCCTGACCACAGCCATTCTTTCTCCATAGTGTGGCAACTAGATAACCACCTGTGGTCCTCCTTACCTTTCCTCTGCAATTTCTAGAACCAGTCCTGGCCAGAAATGAGAGATGTAAGAAGCTCTGGGGCTCAGTACCAATTTATCCCCATATTATCAGTGTTATCACTCTTTTTTTCAGTTCCATTAAATAAGAGTCTTTCTAAGACCTGGGTCCCAGTTCTGGTACTTTGTGTCCTGTTTTGCTTTGGGAATCTGTATAGGACCCTAGTTCTACAGGGACAGTCTCACTACTTCTTGTTACCACTCCCTCATGCCAAGTTACTTGCTGAGTTGCCTGCCAACTCTATCCAGTGGTCTGTCTGTGGGATGCTACTGGCATGCTACACTAGACCTCTAGCTCTGTCTGTGAAATTGATGCTAGCCTCCTACTAGCAGAAGGATCTAATCACAGCTTTTTACCACTCCTCTAGCCTTCTCCACCATGATGTTCTCTGTGTTCAGTAATTTGTATCTGAAAATGAAAAAGATTTTGAACCTCTTTTAAAATGTGATGCCCCAATCAGAAAAGTAGTATCAGATGTTAAAAGCAGTATCAGATGTTATTTGAATGATTATCAACTCCCTTGTTATATGATACTATGTTTTTATTAAGAGAATTAAAGTTACCTGGACTATAAAACTATCAAACTTTTCTTTTTTTTTTTTTGAGTTGGAGTCTCACTCTGTTGCCCAGACTGGAGTGCAGTAGTCACTTCCGGCCACCACAGCCTCGACCTGCTGGGCTCTGGCAATCCTTCCGCCTCAGCCTTCCAAGTAGCTGGAACTACAGGTACGCGCTACCACACCCGGCTAATTTTTTTGATTTATTGTAGAGATGAGGTCTCGCCAAGTTGCCCAGGTGGGTCTCGAGCCTGTGGGCTCAGGCAATCCACTCACCTCAGCCTCCCAAGGCGCGGGATTACAGGCTGAGCCACTGAGCCTGGCCTCAAACTTTTAAAACGTGATTTTCTAAACATCTTTACCATTATATGGAACTGTTCTTCTACTGGTTGACATAAAATATAATTCTAGCCCTAAAATATGACCTGCTCTGAATCATAACAAGGCAAAATTTGGAAAGAATAACAAAATACTTATACCAAAGCTGATAAAAATAATCTCTAGCAACTATAACCATAAGTTATAATAAATGAAATTGATTTAATGGATTACTTGCCCAAGTTATTGTTCAAATGCCAAGAAGCAACTTCCTTACCAAAAAAGTGTTTCTATATTTTCTTTACTCTAGAGAGAAATCTCAGGTACATCTATTCATATTATCAATGCACCACTAAATTATATAGAAAATCTATAAAGCATATTTGGAATTAAAACTGTAAAAAAGTTAAGAACACTTATTTTGTTCTTGCAAAACTTTATTTCGGTTTAAACCACAAAGCAAATGATATTTATGTCATCCAGGGACAGATGGGAGAGTACAGTCATCCTTCAGAGCTGTTTAGCTGCCCAAGTCCAAATGAGAGATGCAATCTAGGTGAAAGACAATTATTCCAGAATATACTGACCTCACAATCTGAGACTGTGAAAATGTGTCAAAAAGATTAGAAACAGATTTACATGAAGTCACATCAGAAAAGCTGAGAATGTCTAATGCTTTGGAAAATTCTGCTTCTACTTAACATTCAGAAGAATGAATTCTCAAAGATCAGGAACAGGAGGTTTATACCATAGTGTTAGAAACAATGATATGTACTTTCCATCAGTTTAAAATGACTATTAGGATGCAAGATGTTATTTAAAACCTAGATACAGGCTCAAACAGTTAGCCAATGCCAAAAATGGAAATCTTACATTTCTTTAAAGGAAACATAAAAATATGACTATTTAGATCGTGTCTTAATTTACAATCAATAAGTCCATTTTTAGTGTTAAAAAAATAGACACAGTAAAATTGTTACACACCTGAAAAAGGTTTCAAATAGAATGCCCCATTAACAATAGCAACTGAGAAATCTAATTCAGTCCACGGATTTTATTTCTGATCAAGTAATCAACGTTACTTATTTCCTTGAGCTCCCTGCTGTTAACAATGTATAACTTGCCAGATAACTATATCACTGATATCCAAGTTCTTCTTCCATTGTATTTTCCCCTTTAACTAAGATGTACCTAGAAATAACAAGATAACACAGAATAGTTGTAATGGTCTTCAATAATTTTCTTATACCAATTAGTTGATCTTACTCCAGTGAAGGCTAATGTCAAATTTATCAGTCTTTGATTTCAAAATTACTTATAATAGAATACTGCATCATGTACAGAAATCTTGATCAATAATCTTCTACTTACATCTCATAACAATTATCTTTCTACACAATTTACAAACATAAAATATGCAATATTGTTTAAAATAAATATACAATATATAGTTTCTACATTCTCATACAGGCTTAAAAATGAGGTAATAAAAACTTAACTGATTAAACCTTTTACCATCCTGGAAATGGCTTATGGAAATGATGGTGAAATAGGCCTTTTCCTTTTTCTTAGGTCTTTTCATGTTTTCTTTGAATACTTCTAAGTACCTCTTTTTCTATGCTGGAAAATTATGCAAAAAATCCTTAAGTTTAGTTGGGTAGTCTGTCATTACCCCTGTTGCTCCCAGATCAAAAGCTCTTTTATATTCTTGTTCTTCATTTAATACCCAAATATACACCTGAAAATAGAAGCAGGAGAATTATAAGAGCAAAAAGTTTTTAAAAAGGAAGAAAAAAAGGTAAAATAGAAAATTATTTTTAAACATTTATTCACTATAATATTCATGCATTTAGAATTAACCTTTTAAAGCTGTCATTTTAAGAAACCATTCGATCCTTTTAAAACCTTTCACTTTGTTCCTTGCAGAAATGAGAGGTGTGAAAATTCCACATGGCTCATTAAATAATGCACTGTTCCACCCCTATGACATCAGCTACTCTCACCTATGCAGAAGAGAAAGTTAGCTACAGAAATGCCAGTGTTTTATTGCTTACAGTAAGGAAAAGCTTAAGGTCCTCATTTATGAATCAGTAAGACAGCATCATCAAAGTTAGGGACTAAATTAAGTCAAAGTTCCTGCCCTTTACACTTGTGTTAAACTGATGAGCTATGCTGTTTCCAAAATGCATCATTCCAGGAACTTACTTGAATGCCTCGAGCAGTTAGGTGGTCAAACAAAGCTTTCCTCATTAGTAAGCTAGAAAAGAAAAGCATAATAGATTTACTCCTAGCCCAGAATTAGTCCAGAATCCTAACATAGTCACTTAAGAATTTAGTAATTCCTAGTTTGATTTAATCCCAATGTTTCAGCAATATAAGCAATGACCACCAGTAATAAAGACTGCTGGGGATGAATTTATGTCTCAACTGCTGAACCTCCTTTCACGGCGGGCTGCTAGAACAACCAGACCTTCTTTCTGCTTCTTGCTTCTACCAGGTCCTTAGAAGACCCATTCGTGCTGACACAGCTCAATGGAGAAGAGGCTTCCTCACTTTCTTTATTTTTATTTTTATTTTTTTGAGTTGGAGTCTCACTCGGTTGCCCAGACTGGAGTGCAGTGGCCGCTCCCGGCCACCGCAGCCTCGACCTGCTGGGCTCCGGCGATCCTTCCGCCTCAGCCTTCCGAGTAGCTGGAACTACAGACACGCACTACCACGCCCGGCTAATTTTTGATTTATTGTAGAGATGAGGTCTCGCCAAGTTGCCCAGGCAGGTCTTGAACCAGCGGGCTCAGGCAATCCACTCACCTCAGCCTCCCAAAGTGTGGGATTACAGGCTGAGCCACCGAACCTGGCTCGGCTTCCTCACTTTCACTGCTATAACGAGGATGAGAAAGAGCTAGGCAGTATGTGCTGCTAACTTTCCAAGTTAAAACAGGGCAGTCAGATTCTGTAATATCATAGTTAAATTACATACTGGATTAGTGTTTTGTAAGCTATTTTGGAAATACTATATCCATTAATTCCACAATCCTATATCTAGGAAAAAAGCATGTTTTATTTCCAAGTAACTGACTTACATGTGAACTTTTAGAATACAAATCACTTAAGCAAGATAGGAATGAACAGTACTGGTAAGTTATACAAATTATTTGGATTTTGTTATGCCTAATAGAAGGATTAAATAACTAGAAATCACATGCATTTTACACCAATTGAAAATTCATCCTTGAAAACTAAAAATTAAATCAGGAATAAAGCAAAAAAGAATAAACCCCGTGGCATAGAAAAAATAACATTTTTTAAATGACTCTTTGAAAGAGGAGCTAAAGAATAAAAAGTTGTGATTTGGGACTCTTCAAATATTTAAGAATTCAAGGTTCCAGTATAAAGCAAAATGCAGCAGAATTACTTTGCTGTTTTTACCCAAAATTAAACTTGACATGTCTAAATTAGGGCATTTTCTGTAGAGCAGATGTCCACCCTATAGGCAGGACTTCCTTTCTGCTGCTCATCTGATTGCAGATTTTTCTGGGAAATGTGCTATAGGCAATATGCACTTTTACACACACTGTATTGCTACTTCTTTTCACCAGGTTTCTGAGTGTAGGCTAGTGGAAACAGCAAATAAGTAAAAAGGGAATTATTAATTCAGCTCTACTACTAGTTAGCTAGATAACCACAAGTAAATCATTTAACTGGTGGATGGGCACTCAGTTTTCTCATGAAGTTGGATGAGAAGATCTCTCAAGATTCCTCCTAGGGTTTTGTGACTGGTAATTAAGCTAGTTATAAAGGATTCATCACATCTACTTGCATAGTAGGTGCTCTATTTGTCCTTGCTACACATTACATTGGAAAGCTTACACCAAATTATGAGTGCAATATTAATATTTAATAAATACAGTTCAGTAATAACTTGCATATTAAGAAGCTGAAATTCTTACATATCAGAAAGCCAGATGAGAAACTTTTGACTTCTGGACATGGTGTGTGGTTCTTTTAGCCTAGGGTAAAACAAAATTTCAATTACAAATTAGAAACGTAGGAATGTATCAGTGTGATAAAATAAAACAAGTTCACAAATAAAAATGGTGCTTTGCACTTAGTATGCTCTCAAAAAATATTTGTAAAAGGACAAAAATAAATTAAAACAAAGCCCATTTGGGTTCTGTTTCCACTGGTCTCAATCTAAATTTTTGCTATCGCTATTCAAAGGTTGAAAAAAAAAGTTACCTTTCCAGAGACCCTGGGACCCTGTGCTCAAGTCTCCTCTTTTTTTTTTTTTTTGCGAGGGGAGGGGGGAGGAAGGGAGACAGACTTTGATCTCCTGCTTTGTCTACCATACTTTAGTATGTAGTAGATTTTTTCTGAGTAGGCGTCTCACTCTGTCACCCAGGCTGGAGGGCAGTGGCACTCTCCCGGCCAAGACAGCCTCGACCTGCTGGGCTCAGGTGATCCTTCCGCCTCGGCCTTCCAAGTAGCTGAAACTACAGACACGCGCCACCCTGCCCTGCTAATTTTTTGATTTATTGTAGAGATGAGGTCTCGCCAGTTGCCCAGGCTGGTCTCGAACCTGTGGGCTCAGGCAATCCTCTCACCTTGGCCTCCCAAAGTGCTGGTATTATAGGCGTGAGCTACTGTGCCCCGGCCTATATAACTTAATTTTTAGGCCTCTGCTGAGTTCCTTCTTTCAGTCCTATGTAATGCCCAGAGCTGCACAACTACCTGTGTCATTAATTTGGGTTGTACCCATAGAAAATCTCTAATTAGCCTCTCTACTATGAAGATTTCTCAGCTGTCTTATAAGTTTATCACCACATGGTGATTTTCATTCTCCTCAGATCTTCATTTTTTATTTTCTTTCTAACTCCTGTCTATACTTTAAAAATAATTCTGAGAATCCCCACACCTAAACCCATTTTTGCTTTTTCTCTGAATTTAGTTTTTGTTTTGTTTTGTTTTTTGTTTTTGAGTTGGAGTCTCACTCTGTCGTTCAGACTGGAGTGCAGTGGCCGCTCCCGGCCACCACAGCCTCGACCTGCTGGGCTCCGGCGATCTTTCCGCCTCAGCCTTCCAAGTAGCTGGAATTACAGGCATGCGCTACCACGCCTGGCTGATTTTTTGATTTATTGTAGAGATGAGGTCTCGCTGCTCAGGCGGGTCTCGAACCCGTGGGCTCAAGCAATCCACTCACCTCAGCCTCCCAAAGATGCAGGATTACAAACTGAGCCACCGAGCCCGGCTGAATTTAGTTTTTATTCTAAGTAAAGTACAAATCCTTTGTTCCCCTAACTCTGGCACAGATGGAAAGTTCTGGTTACAATTTCAGGAATCTCAGAGATTTAATACCTAAAACACTAATCACCTCATTAAACAACCACTATACGAGGGGGGCCAAAAACCCACAGTTTATTTATTTATTTAGTTATTTAATTTTATTTTTTAGTTGGAGTCTCACTCTGTCACCTAGACTGGAGTGCAATGGCCGCACCCGGCTACCGCAGCCTCGACCTGCTGGGCTCTGGCGATCCTTCCACTCAGCCTTCCAAGTAGCTGGAACTACAGGCATGCACTACCACATCTGGCTAATTTTTTGATTTACTGTAGAGATGAGGTCTCGCCAAGTTGCCCAGGCGGGTCTCGAACCTGCGGGCTCAGGCAATCCACTCACCTCGGCCTCCCAAAGCACGGGATTACAGGCTGAGCCACTGAGCCCGGCTCACAGTTTATTTACAAAAAATTGTGTATTTATTTTTGTTTAAACTTCATTCACCTTCAAAGTACTCTCTGTTTGATGCAATATGCCTATCAAGATATTTTTTCCACTGCTCAAAAGTTTTGAACTTGTCAATTTTGATGCCTTTTAGTGCTTCTGCCGTTTTTGTTTTTGTTTTTTTCCACATCAGCAAAACATTTCCCTTTGAGGATTTTTTTCATCTGGGGAAACAAAAAAAAGTTGCTGGGGTGAGATCAGGTGAAGAGGGGAATGGGGGTCATGATGTTTTGGGTCAAAAAATGCTGAACAGGCTGGGCGCAGTGGCTCATGTCTATAATCCCAGCAGTTTGGGAGGCCAAGGTGAGAGGATTGCCCGAGCCCACAAATTCGAGACCAGCCTGGGTAACTTGGTGAGACCTTATCTCTACAATAAATCAAAAAATAGCCAGCCAGGCATGGTGGTGCATGACTGTAGTTCCAGCTACTTGGAAGGCTGAGGCAGAAGGAACACCTTAGCCCAGCAGGTCAAGGCTGCAGTGGCTGAGAGTATGCCACTGCCCTCCACCCTGGGCGACAGAGTGAGACGCCAATTCAAAAAAACAAAACAAAACAAAAAACTGCTGAACACTCAGTGCAGTTTGGACAGGTTCATTCTTAATTACTCATCATGAAATGGGCAAATGTGTTGAAAGAATCTCCAAAAAAAATTCACTGAAGCTGAATGCAGCCTCTCACAACAATGCTAGCTGATACACTGATGCCGATGTGTTCCTAGAACACTTAGCAAGCCTGTACTACAAGGAGCCCACCATCTGAAAAACAATTCCAGCTTTTTTTGGACCCCCCCTAGTATTGTTTTAGGAAGTATCCTTTGCCATCCATAGAAATATTAAAACACACACAAAAAATCCTACCTGTGTCTTATTTCATAATCATGTTTTAGGAAAAGATTAATTCCATAAAGTTTGTTCTTATGTCTATATTTCAATTTGCTTTTAAAAGGAACATAGAGAGATAATCTAAAGCACACAATAGTACATTCCAGGCCAAAGAAAAGCTAAGCACTTTAGGAATACATGTTTAGGAATCATTTTTTTTTTTTTGAGTTGAAGTCTCACTCTGTCAACCAGACTGGAGTGCAGTGGCCGCTTCCGGCCACCACAGCCTCGACCTGCTGGGCTCCGTGATTCTTCCGCCTCAGCCTTCCAAGTAGCTGGAACTACAGGCGCACGCTGCCATGCCCGGCTAATTTTTTGATTTATTGTAGAGATGAGGTCTCACCAAGTTGCCCAGGCGGGTCTTGAACCCACGGGCTCAGGCAATCCACTTACCTCAGTCTCCCAAGGCGCGGGATTACAGGCTGAGCCACCAAGCCCAGCTAGGAATCATTTTAATCTACCAAATGAAAATAGTTTCTTTGTAGACAAGAAGTGTTTTCCGTTGTTCTGTCTGAGAAACAGCTACAAAGACTGTCGATATAATTAGGAGCAGACTAAATAAACATGCTCATCACTAAGAAACTCAAATGGGAAAACAGGCATGAAATAGAAGCTGAACACAAGAGTACTGACCACCCTGCTTTTCTTACCTATATTGTCTAATGACTGCTGATTAATGTTCAGCTTAATAGTTTACCCCAAGTCATTAGCTTTATCGAGACATACTGTAGAAAAGTAAAGGTTTTCAGTTTGATTTTTTGAAGTTCTGTTTTGGGTAGGAAAACTGTTCTTCTGCGATTGAAATCACATTTAAATGACCTTCCCAGGAACTACAAATTACCTTGTCATGACTTGATTATGAGTCTATAGCTAGAAATCATATTCTAAGTGTGTAGGACTTTGAGATGAAGCTATTTTTAACAATAATAAAGATGATTTAGCTGGGTTCGGTGGCTCAGCCTGTAATCCCACGCCTTTGGGAGGCAGAGGTGAGTGGATTGCCTGAGCCCGCAGGTTCGTGACCCACCTGGGCAATTTGGCGAGACCTCATCTCTACAATAAATCAAAAACTAGCCAGGCGTGGTAGCACGCGCCTGTAGTTCCAGCTACTCAGAAGGCTGAGGCGGAAGGATCACCGGAGCCCAGCAGGTCGAGGCTGCGGTGACTGGGAGCGGCCACTGTACTTCAGTCTGGGCGACAGAGTGAGACTCCAACTCAAAAAATATAAATAAATAAAAATAAATAAATAAATAAAGATGATTTAACAATAAAAGTTATCACTTATTTGCCAGGCAATCTAAGTGTTTTATGTATTTGTGTCTTTCTAGTAAATTAGTGACTAAAATGCAAGACATTGTATCTAACAGAGAAGTTCTGAAAATATACAAGTATTTTATATAGGTCAGGCGTAGTGGCTCACGCCTATAATCCCAGCACTTTGGGAGGTTGAAGTGAGAGAATTGCCTGAGCCCATGGGTTCAAGACCACTCTGGGCAACTTGGAGAGACCTCATCTCTACAATAAATTTTAAAAATTAGCTGGGTGTGGTGGCACATGCCTGTAGTTTCAGCTGCTTAGAAGGCTGAGGCAGAAAAATCACCTAGCCCAACAGACCGAGGTTGCGGTGGCTGTGAGCATGCCACTGCACTCCAGCCTGGACCACAGAGCGAGACTCCAACTCAAAAAATAAAAACAAAAAAAAGAAGTACCTTATATAAACTAATTATACCCTTTTTTTCCCTCCTACCTTCAGAGGTTCTTGTGGTGGTGATGGTGGTGGTAGTTTTTCTTTTTCTTGCTTTTTTTGAGTTGGAGTCTCACTCTGTTGCCCAGACTGGAGTGCAGTGGCCGCTCCCGGCCACCACAGCCTCAACCTGCTGGGCTCCGGCGATCCTTCCGCCTCAGCCTTCCAAGTAGCCAGAATTACAGGTGCACACTACCACACCTGGCGATTTTTAAAAATTTTTTGTAGAGATGAGGTCTCGCCTGCCCAGGGGGGTCTCGAACCCGCGGGTTCAGGCAATCCACTCTCAGCCTCCCAAAGCGCGGGATTACAGGCTGAACCACTGAGCCTGGCTGGTAGTTTTTCTTTCTAAATGTTTTATAGGAATACTACTGATTAATTTGAAGTTTAATGGAATTTCAGCAGGGTATAGTCAATGAAGTAGAAAGGGAAGTAGAAGGGCAATTATTTTTTGATGTCAGAATAAAATAATTATTAAACTTCTGTAATTAAGCTCAATTCTTTATATCTGACTACTGACTACAAAGGCACAGAAAATAAAAATCATTATAACCTGCGATGGATCCAAATTAAGTACCTATATTATTCATTTTAGAGAATGAGTGCTAATTATATCAAAAAGTACTGTTAATATAGGTCAGGTAATAAAATAGAACATGGAAATAACTATAGAAATCTCTTCTTTATCATTGATGTCGGTATTATGAACCCTATCTTACTCCTCTTGTAGTTGTTGACTAATAAAAACAGGGTAACCACTTACTTCAATATAATAGAAGGCATTGGGATTTCAAAAAACTGTTCTCGAATGGGCACAAAGGGCAAGAGGCCAGTGAAGAAAAGGCCAAGAATGAGCAGAACACGTTGCAGACTGAAGAGTATAGGAATATCTGAATTCTAAAAGACACAAACAATATTATGTTACTTTTACAACTGTTCAAGTAAAGAGGATTATTTTACAACCCTCAAAATTTCCTGAGACTATACCTTGACATGTATTACAAGCATTACCTAAAGTATAAATATCCTTTCACACTTAGAAATGGCTAGTCCTGGACAAATGGGTCAGGATCTACCCTGGAGCCTAATAGCGTAATTGATGTCACTAAAGTTTTTCTATTCCCTTCTCTCTGCTTTTGCAACACCACTTGTGCCATTGGTTATAGTACTTACAGTAAACATACCAGAATCTAATAGAACAAAATGAAGAGATGAACATATTAAATTTTCAGCAACCTACTCCTGTTTAAAATAGATAAAAGCTATATATCTATATATAGATATATAGATATGTATCAATACAGTTACAAATGTCATCTTTCAGCTACCTTATGAATCAAATATAAGATATAAAAAGGATTTTGTAAGTTAGTCCAAGAATCTAACCACAATTTCAAATTTCTACTGTAAAAGGTGCTCAAGATCCCCAAACTTTGTGTGTGTGTGTGTGTGTGTGTGTGTGTGTGTGTGTGTGTATGTGTATGTGTGTGTGTGTCAGAATAATGATGTCAGAATAAAATAATTATTCTGTGTGTGTTGGAGTCTCACTCCGTCACTCAGGCTGACGGAGTGTGTGTGTGTCAGAATAATGATGTCAGAATAAAATAATTATTCTGTGTGTGTTGGAGTCTCACTCCGTCACTCAGGCTGAAGTGCAGTGGCATGCTCAAGGCCACCACAGCATTGACCTGCTGGGCTCAGGTGTTCCTTCTGCCTCAGCCTTCCAAGTAGCTGGAACTACAGGTGCATGCTACTACGCCCAGCTAATTTTTTATGTATTGTAGGGACGAGGTCTCTCCAAGTTGCCCACGCTGGTCTCAAACCCACAGGCTCAGGCAATCCACTCTCTTCGGCCTCCCAAGGTGTGCTGGGATTACAGGCTGAGGCATCGAACCCAGCCATGAATCCCAAAATTTTTAACATGCAAGCTGTGTATATACCTATATGTATATACACACATACATGTGTAATATATATACAAAGACACATATGTATACGCACATATACATTTGTGTTAAAATACACATAATACAAATTCACCATGTTTATCTTTTTTGTTGTTGTTGTTGGAGTCTTACACAGTCACCCAGGCTGGAGTGCAGTGGCATGCTCACAGCCACCCCAGCAATGACCTGCTGCACTCTAGCGATCCTTCTGCCTCGGGCTACCAAGTAGCTGAATGACAGGCGTGCTCTATCATGCCCAGCTAATTTTTGATTTATTGTAGAGACAGGTCTCACCAAGTTGCCCAGGCTGGTCTCGAACCCAAGGGTTCAGGCAATTTACTCACCTTGGCCTCCCAAAACACTGAGATTACAGGCTAAGCCACCAAGCCCAGCCCCTTTCTATACTTTTTTGTTTTGTTTTGTTTTTTGAGTTGGAGTCTCACTCTGTCACCCGGACTAGAGTGCCGTGGCCGCTCCCAGTCACTGCAGCCTCGACCTGCTGGGCTCTGGCGATCCTTCCACCTCAATCTTTCAAGTAGCTGGGACTATAGGCATGCGCTACTATGCCCGGCTAATTTTTGATTTATTGTAGAGATGAGGTGTCGCCAAGTTGCCCAGGCAGGTCTCGAACCCACGAGCTCAGGCAATCCACTCCCCTCGGCCTCCCAAAGTGATGGGATTGCAGGCTGAGCCACCAAGCCAGGCCTCCTTTCTATACTTTTTTTTTTTTTGAGTTGGAGTCTGACTCTGTCGCCCAGACTGGAGTGCAGTGGCCGCTCCTGGCCACCGAAGCCTCGATCTGCTGGGCTCCGGCGATCTTTCCGCCTTAGCCTTCCAAGTAGCTGGAATTACAGGCATGCGCTACCACGCCCAGCTAAATTTTTGATTTATTGCAAAGATGAGGTCTCGCTGCCCAGGTGGGTCTCAAACCCGCGAGCTCAGGCAGTTCACTCACCTCAGCCTCCCAAAGGTGCGGGATTACAGGCTGAGCCACCGAGCCCAGCTTCTATACTTTTTAAAAAGCAAATAAGAAATACTGTAAAATTGAATATTTCTATTAAAAAGTTAATATATTTAAAAAGTCACACAAAAAGTAATTCATTTAAAATAATTAACTCTGGCTGGGCACAGTGGCTTATGCCTATAATCCCAGCACTTTGGGAGGCCAAGGTGAGGGGACTGCCTGAGCCCACGGGTTCGAGACCAGCCTGGGCAACTTGGTGAGATCTCATCTCT